GTGTACTCTTATGTGTTTGTATTAGGGTCATTTACTAGAACACACCTTATAGTTTTACATATTTACTTAAACCTACCCAAGGTTCAAAATATTGATAGCTCGATACGTCGATAGGGGTGTATCGAGCGAATCAATCCCTTTTTTTTACTTTTTTTTTTATTTTTTTCAAAACCGGTTCAGGGTGGTCAATTTAGAGCTCCTCCACCCTTGAATTGGTCAGACCCCCGATGCACCCACTGTAGGGGCGTATCGGAGGAGTCCTGGAACGATACGTGTCGATACTTTGAACCTTGAACCTACCTTATAGTTTTTGTTTTACTAAAACATCACATATATTTTACAACTTATTTACTTAATCAAACTTTCATTAACGAGTGTTTGTTTTGCTAGTAGGCCCATGATTTTTTATTCCATAAATACCCTTAACACTTTTTTAATACAGAAAACAGAATTGGCCAAATATAACCAATAGAGTGGTTGTCCATGTCTTATTAAGGGAAAAATGGTATTTTTATTTCTATTTTATTTTGATTAAATTTATTTAAATGAACATTAGGGTCAACACTGTCATTTCCACTATCATCTAATGGAAGATTGATTAAATCCGTTGCAAATTATAAGTGGTGTTTTAGTAAAATGCTAACTATAGGGTAGATTTTAGTAAATCCATGAAACTATAAGGGTATTTTAATAAATGACCCTTTCTATTATTTATCTTTCACTTAATAAATCCCGTGCATAGCACGGGTCCTCAACCACTAGTCATTGTTGAACGACATGTTTGGTTGATGTAAGACATCAACCAACAAAACTTGTCCCAACATAGTTTTAACATGATCTATGTCCACACATCTCAGAGTAGGATCCACCATGCATGAGATGTGCGGACATAGATTATGTTAGAATATGTTGAGACTGTTTTTTGTTGGGAGGAAATCTAGACTAATATCAAGTAACACTCTAATTAAACACATTGTTAGTGGATATTGAAGCAAACACTTTGTGTATATGCAAAAATAGATGTCATTACTAATAGAGGTGCAAGTCTGGTGGGCTGAGATGGGTTTAAGTTCAACTCAGGTTCATCCATAAGAATTGGGCCTAAGGCCCAAGAACAATTTGAGCCCAATGTCAAGCCCAAATTGTCCAACCTGGGTCCAACTTGCATAGAATTATTATATAGGGTAAATTTCTTAAACTACCCTTATGGTTTAGCTAATTGACTAAGTGCACCCTTACTATTTGAAAATTAACTAATGCTACCCCTACTGTTTCTGACAATTGACTAATACTTCCCTTACTATTGGCGCATGTTAACAGAAAGACAAAAAATACTACTTTACCTTTTATTCTTCTTCAAAATTTCCAAATAAAATAGGAAAAAAGGGAAAGAAACACTGGTTCATCAAACCCTGTTGGAGCTCCTGGAAGTAGAAAGAATGGCCCTAACAGTCTTAGAAGTAGATCTGAAAATAATCTTTTGATTGTTCTAGCAGAACTTAACAGGAAAATCTCATATCCAGCCAAGGGGCTCTATGCTCCTTCTTCCTCTTCTTATTTCTCTTTTTCTTTCTCCCCTGTTCCACCACCACCACTGCATCCATTGCCCCTGGCATCAAAAAGGTCAAACTATTTGATGGAGCTTGTGTTTCAGTCTCCCAGAGCAAATCATAAGTGCTCGAACCAGTGGCGGTAGAGGGCAGCCCGACTTGGGAAAATGTGATTAGCCTGCAAAAGCTTGGACAGCGGGAGAGGCATTAGAGATTTTTTATCTCCAAGATTGAAACCCCAACTTGAAGCAAGTTTAGTCACCGAAGGGCAACCGGAGAAGCTCTCAAGCAGATTGCGCTCATGAGAGGTGGAAATAGAGCAGTTCTCGTGTGCGTTCCGAGCAGTTCCCGTGTGCGTCCCCCTCCTATCACCTCTGGCCTCTCTTTGTTCTCTAAAGTCTGCCTCCACTTCTATGATTTGATCAGAAATCAGAATGCTGAACTGTGGTAACAGGCTGTTAGCCGCCTAGTCCGAGATGTATGACTAGGTTAAAGAGTTTGAATTTTAATCAGAATGTTGAACTGCGGTAAGTTCTCTAAGAACGCTGATTTCTATAGTTTCATGGGAATTGGGACGAGGGAGGGGGTAATATTGGGTTTTAAAAGAATTTTAAACACCACGTGATATCACGTGTATACGGGTTTTGACGAATAATAATGGATGCTAACAATAAAGGAAGTATTAATCAATTGTCAGAAATAGTAGGGATAGCATCGGTCAATTTTCAAACAGTAAGGATACACTTAGTCAATTAACTAAACCATAAGGGTAATTTAAGAAATTTACCCTTATATATATAATGAAAATAATGAAAATAAAAGTTTGAACTTTTGGACCCAAGCCCAGTCTAAGAACTAGATCAGGCTTAGGTTCGGCCTACCCAAGTTGAACCCCTATCTACTAATAATTTCTCTGCATAGGCAGATGGACAACAAGAAATTGCCCACCTAAATATTTAAGTGCATTAGTAAAAGAAAAAAAAAAAGAAATGGCAATGGGCAGATTCAAGGTAGGGACTATACTCCCCATCCCCGTCATCTATTCTTGCCGGGGAGAAAACAAATCCCCCATCCCCAACCCTGATAGAGACAGATTCCCCATTGAGGATCTGAAACCTTGAATTCAGACTTGTTTTCGAGGTTAAGTAAAATACCAAGAACATCAAATTCAATGTCTATTTGGTGGTGTTTTATTTTTCACTAGTATAATTATGAAAATTTACTTTTTCTTTTTGCTTTTTTTGAGAAAGGGAAAAGAAAAAGATGTATAAAACCTTTAAACTAAATTGAAAGTTTCGATTTCACCGTTCTAACTTTTTAGCAAAGCATTTTTTTAGTGATACTATCATGAATCCGAGCAAGATTCCTTTTTCAATAGTGAATTAGAAGAAAAAAAATTAACAATTCAATAGGCAAATACTTTCAAGACGTTATAGACTTGCAGCTTGAGAGAGATGGTTGCGGATGTTGCTATGCTGGATAGTCAGAGATGTCGAGATTGTCGGTTGCTGCTTGATAGGGGATAAGGGAGGCTATGAGGCTAAGAGTTTCATGGGATTTGGCCATCTTGGGGGAGGCAATGGGAGACTGGATATGCTCCTCACACAGGGCGCTTCTCATCGATCTTACAGACACATCCTATCATGCATTAGGAATATCTCCCGTATTTATAAGTTATTATTTATGGGAAATATTTTCAATGCAGTGTGGATATATCTATGAGGCACCTATGTATAAGAAGCAGATCCGGTTCCAGGCAATAGGAGGTTAGGGTTTTGTGGAGTTAATATTAACAATTGGGATGGGGTGGGATTCCCCTACAAATAAATCTTCATACCCAATCTAGTCTAGTTGTTGGGCCTCGTGTATCTGGTGGGTATAAGGAATTAGAGTAGGATGCTCCTCACAGAACGCACTTCATACAGACTTCACAGCATGTCCTGTGACTGCACATAGGTATACACACTGGGGTTTGCTGAATTGTTTTCAGTACTCACAAAGCTCACACCGTCCTCACAACTACGGCCACTTGTAACGATGTATTGAGGATATCTCCTTATATATGGGGAGATATTCTCAATGTATAGCTTCAAGTAATTGTGAGTATGAGCATCGTTTATCTGATTACAAAAATCCTTATATTCCCAATGCAGTCTGCGAGGAGCAAATTTAATTTCCACGATATTATTAACAAGGGTGTAAATGGATTGGATTCGAAACACGGTATATTCAAATTCGATTTGATATTGTTTATGGTGGAGATGATCCTATTCGAAGATCTAATCAGATCTAACAGGTAAGGAAGGATCTATATTCAAATTTGATTGGAAAGTCCAATCTTCAGATCAGATCTGATTTATTTAAAAAATAATAATAAATTGTTAAAAGAAAAATAAAATATATCAATTTAAATAAAAAATAATAGTATTTATTATTATTTTCATCATATATACATATTTTTTTATAAAAAATAAATAAATAACATACATTATATATACTTATATAAATATATAACATATAACGGATACAATCCGAAGACCCGGGGTGATCCGAATTCAACCAATTAGGATTGGGTTAACTTTGGCTGTTAGGGCCCAACAGCATAGGCTATTGAGACAGATTCTGCACTAGACACATTCTGGGCAATTCACCTATTCACACCCATACTTTTGTTTTTAATCAAAATAAATTAAGATGTAATTACTAAGTTGCCCATTCTCGTGGTAATGTGACATTTCCAGATATTCTCTCAACAGTTTGAAAGGAACACAAATGCAAATATATACGGGATCATTTGCACCCGTAAGTCTGCGACATCACTCAATCTAATTCTAGGTGGAATTACAACGTTACATCCAAATCCAACGCTAGCGCTAAAACCATGTCGTAGCAAAAGAGGTTTGTTAGTTGTTCCATCATTCCAGTTTTACTAGAACATCACATGCCGTGCCTATATCCAAGTGGCGCTCATATGTTCCAATAACGTCAATTGGAAGATCGGAATAGACCACGCTACCATCCACCTGGCTCGTGAGATCTAAGTGACCCACTTACAACGTAGACAAACTGGATAAGATAATCCAACTTGAAAATTACCAAAATATCCTCTGACTAAATTTTGCACAGCGATTGTGCAGACCCACTTACCACTTTTGCGGACTGCTAACCCCCCCACAACGAAAAAAAATTGCGGGTGATAGGTGATCGCTTCTTACATTCTTTCAATTCACTAAAATACCCTTCTTTATCCTCTTTATCAATTGCAATAGTGGGGACATACTTGGGCAATTTTGAAGAATGAAGAAATCTTTCACGGCAAGTGCCGAGTGGGACTTTGAGTTCGATTTGCTTACGATTCGCTGCCGAATGCCGATTCAGTTAGACCCCGTCCCGTATTTGGAGCTGACGCTGTTACACCGTTAACGGACACAAGTCGCAAGTGCATCTACTCTCTCTCTCTCGCGTAGGGAGCGGGCCTGGTTCGTTTTACGACCGCCGTTTATCCACATAAACCGCCTTTTTTTACATTTTTTTTTCAAAGCAAGCAAACAAACCTCTTTCTGTCTCTGCACTCTCTCTCTCTCTCTCTCTCTCTCTCGCCCTCTCTCGGAGCGGGCGAGCGAGGGTTCGGAATCTTGCGGAGAATTGCTCAACCCAGTCGGAAAGTCCATTGGTTCCGACTCAAGGCTTCGAGGCCCCGGATGCGACGTGACCGGACCAGAGATAGGAAGCTCTTATTCTTCTCTAAATAAAAATAATAATAAAGGAATCTTCTCTCTCTCTGGTCGTGGCTGTGTTAGCTTGCAATGCAGGGAAAAGAAGGGAAAGAATCATAAAGTAGGAGGCCCTTACACGGCACAGAAGCCGAGATCCCTTACTCGATCCTCTTGACTTATGCCGAATCCGTTCTGATTTTCCTCGTCTCTTTACCTCCGTCTCTTCGATCTCTCTTTTGTTTAAATTCTATCGTTTTTCTCTATGTTTTTATCCTCGAACTTGAAAAAAAGAATAGCACGGAAGAGTTAGATAGATAGAGAGAGAGAGGAGCGTTTGAGCTGGAGATAATGCTTTGGTGGTGAGTTCTCTCCCGTTTTTTTTGTTGAATTCTTGTTGCTTTTGGTGCTTTGATTAGTTGATCGGTTGGTTTTGTGATGGAAAGATGGAAACTTGATTTGTTTATGACGGTTTTGGAGGTTATAATTTGATCTTTTGTTTGAATTGGGTTTTAACAGTGAGGTTTCGTGCCGATCTTTTCTGTTTCTATTTCAATTTCGACTGATTCGTAGAATCTTCGTTTTTTTATTCGGTAGCTAATGTTTTCTTCGGTTTCGATTGTAGAGGAAAAATTCTTTCTTTCTTCGGATATATGCGTGAACTAATTCTTCTTCTTCTTCGTCTTCGTTATATTTGATGATCTTCAATCTGAGTAAATCAAAATTCCGTTTTTTGTTCTCTATTTTTCATGGTTTTGATTCTGTTTTATGATCTTCAAGATTCTTGAAGAAAATCGCTATTCTTTTCCCTTCAGTAGCTATGCATTTGTTTTCCTTGCGATAGGGTTGCATTATGCAGTTGCATCAATTTAGTATTTGTTCTTATTTTCATTTTTTATCATCTTTTATTGCTTGTATAATTTATACATATTTTAATGGATTTCTGCTTCTTCTTATTCTTCTTCTTCTTTTTTTTTTTTTAAATTTATGTTAGTTTCTCTTGTTTGTGAAGGACACAGACAGGGAAAATATTGAATTTCCTATCGGGTAGAAGGAGCAATTGATATATGGAATATTGAAATTTATTTCCTTTCTTAGGGTTGTGGTTTCTGAGTTGCACGATGCCATCTGAAGTAATGGATCAAAGGGGTTTGTCTCCATCGTCCTACTTCTTTGAGGAAATCCGTTTTCCTGCCGAGGTATTGATCCGCAAGACAGCTTCCAAATTTATGTATTCGTTTAAGTGTTAAGCAGTTCAAATCTTCCAGTTTGGTTATCTAAGTTACCTTTTTCCCTCCTGTCTTCTTATTTACCAGAGAAAAGTTGGATTTTGGACGTCTGAAAATATGCCTGATAGCCATGGTGAGTATCTGTAGTTTGATTTACCAGGTGTTCACTGTTCTAGCCCATAAAAGACCAAAGGTTGTTTGAGATCCTGACATAACTGAGGCCTGTGCAATCAAATAAATAGTTTGTTATATCTATTATATAAATGATATTCTGTACATACAAATTGAGCATAGGTTCTGGGTTCTAAGTTCTAACTCACAAGGATGCCATTTGCACTAAATAAGCTTCTTGGATGATCCTTTTGATTGTTCTTCCTCCTCTCTAGGAGGCTAGTCATTCACAGTTATCACTTTTGGGCTTGTGACATTGTGGAGATTATTCTCATTTCCCCCACTTTTAACCTCATATTAATTTGAGACAAAGTTTGTGAAGACACCCAGAAAGTGTTCCAACCCCAGAAGTTGGGTAATTATCAAAAAGAAAAAAACAGAGGTTGGGGCCTTACAACCTCTTGGATCCATTGGAATTCTTGAAAATTTTATGAGCTGGGACATTCTAGGCTGATATTACCTGCCAAAAGAATTGGTAAATAATATATGTGATGAGACTAGCTTGAAGGAGGTTTACCCTTGCCTTTTTTTATATGGCTCAAAACAAAGAAGCTACAATGGCAGATGCGATGTCTTGTCACAATGATACAGCAGTGTGGAAACCCACTTTTAGGAGGAATCTAAATGACCGGGAGGTGGAGCAAATGACTGATCTTCTACAAAAGCTGTACAGACATAACCCAAGCAGGTCAGGGGATTCTTATAAAAGAGAATGGAGATGGTGCAAGGATGGCAGTTTTCAGTTAAGTCTTTTATGGCACATTGGTGGAGAGGGGAGAAAGTAACTTCCCTTGGGAAAGTATTTGGTGTACAGTCGCTTCAACAAAGGTCTCCTTTCTGCTGTGGACAGCCTCTCTTAACAGATGTCTGACTAGAGATAATTTGTTGAAGAGGGGTTGTTTGATTGATAACATCAACTGTATCTTCTGTGATGAAGAAGGGGAATCAGCTCATTATCTAATTTTGCATTTCTCATTTGTTAGAAGGCTGTGGTCTAAAGTGTTGGACTTTTTGGGCTTCAGTTGTGCTTTCCAAAATCTGTGGTGGAGCTTTTAATTTGTTGGCAGTTGAAGGGCTTGAGTAAAAAAGGAAAAGTAATGTGGAGGGTGCTGCATGTGGAAATTTTTTAGACCATGTGGATGGAAAGAAATGCCAGAATTTTTGAAGGCTTGGGAGAATCAGAGGCGGAGTTGAGAAGGATTTATGGGGTAGAATTCATTCTTGGGTTTCAATGAACAGATGTTTTACGGATATACCACATGACTCTTTTTTGAAAGCTCAATTGCTTTTTTGTAATGTTTAATCGATATTTTATACAGATAGCGGTTATTTTGGCACAGCTCCTTGCTGTATAGATGTGGGCATGTAATTTTTTTGTTATTAATACAACACTTGACCTCTTTAGAAAAAGAATCTTTTTAGAAGTTAATTGACAGAATGATAACAGAAGGGGAAAAATGTTGGAATCTGAAAGTTCAGGGGGCTTGTCACTACCCTCAAAGTACAGGGTGGTAATCTGTAATTTGCCCTTATATATTTATTTTAGGAATTAGATAAGATTATGCGAAAGAATTCCAGTCTTTAGTAGATTTAGTAGATTTTGATCTCTTCAGTTAGGCACTTGAAGCTGTTGGTTGCTTGGTAGGGACTATTTTCTTCTGTGGCATTTTCCTTTTATATTTTCTTATTATATCCCTTATACAATATTTATTTCAATCTTCATTTCCCAGTGCATGATAACACTACTTGTAAGATTTTTCACTGCTCCTTGATTGCACAGATATCTGGATATGTTATGTGGGGCCAGATTCTAAGAAAAAGGAAGCCAAATCCATGGTTTTATCTTGGTCTTTATGGTCCTTTGTGTGGCTGCCAAGATGGACTAACTATTGGTTTTCAGAAATCCACATAAACTTCAGCCCAATTCCCTGGAATTGCACCTGTAAGCCCAAGCTTAATAAGTTGTCAGGTTGGGCCCAAGGCCCATGAACTTAGGCCCATTCTAGTAAGTCAATGAATTTAGAATTTGTTTAGCTCAAGTAGGTCCTGTGTTTCTGAGTTGAAGATTCTTTCAATTAAATCAAGTAAAGATTTGATAGAGATTGAGAAGATCTACTAAATATAGTTAGATTAAATACTTTTTCTTAGCAAGTATTTCCATATTTAGTTGCACTTATTAGGAAAATAAATATCATGTAGATCTCAAATAGAGTTCATCTATAAAAGCCATTGTAATCACTCTTTTGTAAAGATGAATAAAAGTTACATTGTTTCTTAGAATATTGCAGTTTGGTTTTTACTCCTAACTTTTGAAAGTGCTGATTCTTAGATAAAGCTAGTGGTGCAACACCGTTAGGACCTTTCTTTGGGTTATAGTAGGTATTTCATCTATTTTTGAACACTAGTGTACTTGGTTTTTGTGTTATATTCAGCCATGCTTTCTAATTTTTCTTTATTACTTCAATGGTAAACCATTCACTTAGCTCTTATTTCCTCTTATACTCTCACCATATTTCTTTGTTGACTCGTTATTTCTGTTATTTTCTGTAGTTCATAAACAGCATAGCTCAGACCTCTTCCTGTTTTTCTTTCTGAATTTTTGAACACTCTCAAGTTCCTAGTATATTCAAGCTAAGCCTCATTGAAGCAAGCTTGATACAGATAGGGCCATTACCCCTCATTGTGAAGGTTCTTGTGTGTGTTGGGTGTCGCCGGGGGGTAACACAGACCTAACATTTGTCATTTTTCCCCAAAAGTTGCAACTCTCAGATTCTGTTCTGTATTTTCATGCATGTTGGTCCAAGAGTTTACCATTGCACTAATCAGTGGTCACTATCTTGATAAAGCTCATTTTCAACCTATTGTTTTCCCATTATTTTATCCCTACTACTCTTCTAAGTTGATTTGCTTGTAGCAACCTGTCATTGCAATTTTAGTCTTAAAACCCCTCTTAAACCTAACCAACATGACTCTTGTTTTCTCCTAGATATCCATGCAACCTCATCCGTAATTTCTAGGGTAGATCTTTCAGCCATTTGTATGTTGTCCAGCATCAAGATGTTTTCTTTTTGTCCTTTGTTTTCTTTTCGTCATTCTGCCATCTTATGGATGTATTGCTGTGTTTCAGGAGTAGGAATGGGTGCAATATCACGAACATCAGGGAGCAAGTCAATTGCTTCATCACCCCTAGAGAAACTTATGCCAATGGGAACACACTCAATGCAGTGCTTGGAATTACCTGCATCTTACCCTGTCAGAGACCAGAATGCTAAGCTTAACTTAGAGCACCAAGTTGTGATGACAGATAAAACAGCCAATTCATCCATGACCTTGTGGAGATCTGTGGACCAAGATGTGGCAGCAAAGTCCAATCTATTTGTGCAGCCAGCATCTTATTTTATGGAAGGTGGCAGAATAGAGAAGAATTCAGTGCTATGTGAGAATGGTCTATTCTCAAGCTCCTTTTCAGAAATATTTAGCAGGAAGTGTAAGTTTCCATCTTGAAATTTATTTATCGATGCAATGCTGTTATATGCAGACTACTATTTGCTGCCTTACATGCATTGCTATATCTACTTGCTGTATTCTCTGCTTATATTTTTCTATTTGTTGTGCAGTAAAACTATCATCCAATGATGTTCTATTTGGAAAATCTGTTGATACTGTTGCCTCCCAATATGAGGAACAGGAGCCCTTTGAATCCCTTGATGAAATTGAGGCACAAACAATCGGAAACCTCCTTCCTGATGATGATGACCTGCTTTCTGGTGTAATTGATGAATTGGAGTACATTGCCCTACCAAATAGTGGGGATGACACAGAAGATTTTGATCTGTTTAGCAGTGGTGGAGGGATGGAACTAGAAGGAGATGACAGTTCCTGTGGGGTCCAAATTTCTGGTATTTCTGGAGATATTTCCAATGGTCAGCAGGGAGTTTCTTATGGATCTGTTGCAGGGGAACACCCTTATGGTGAACACCCCTCCAGGACACTCTTCGTGAGAAATATAAATAGCCATGTTGAGGATACAGAATTAAAGGCTCTTTTTGAGGTATTCTTTATTTCTATGGTATTTGTAATTTCTTTATCTATTCTATGTTTAAGTTAGAAATCACTTCATGCTAGCATTTTCATCCTTTTTCTTTAATTCAGTGTTCAACCTGTCATTTTATTCCAATGACTGTATTCTACTTGTGCAGCAATATGGAGATATTCGCACTCTTTATACAGCATGCAAGCATCGCGGTTTTGTTATGATTTCTTATTATGATATAAGGGCAGCACGAAATGCAATGAGAGCACTTCAGAACAAGCCACTAAGGCGGAGGAAACTTGACATACACTACTCAATTCCTAAGGTATGATGCTTTGCCCTTCTGCTTTTCCCATCAAACACATGATGTTTTATAGTTGCAGCTTCCCAGATAGTCAAGAGAAGTACTGAAAATGGAGAGATCTTAGAATTCCTACTATTTTGTAAAATTTGGTGGTTACATGGACTAAATTATGATCATGTGCTTATGTACATGTAAACTCTTTCGTTTCTTCCAATTACTCACCACATGCTTGCCTGTTTCATGGTATTGCTTCATAAATCATGGGTTATTGGCTTTTAGGACAATCCTTCAGAGAAAGATATTAATCAAGGAACTTTAGTGGTGTTCAACCTAGATTCTTCTGTTTCAAATGATGATCTCCGCCAGATATTTGGTGTTTATGGAGAAATTAAGGAGGTGGGCTTGTTTTGTTAATCTTCTGCCTTGATTCTTTTTAAAACATGTATTGTGACGATATGGACTTAGTTATTAATTGTGGCATGCAGATCCGTGAAACCCCACACAAACGCCATCACAAGTTCATAGAATTTTATGATGTTAGAGCTGCAGATGCTGCTCTTCGTGCTTTGAACCGGAGTGATATTGCAGGGAAACGGATCAAGCTTGAGCCAAGCCGCCCTGGTGGTGCAAGACGGTGGTATTGTCCAAGCATACTCTCTCTGTCTCACTCTCTAACATGCCGATACAATGACAGACACCTTTTTTCTATTTAAAAACTCTCATCAAGTCTTATTCTGGTGTTTCTACTTTTCCATCTCAACTCTACTGATTTTTAAGTTCTTGCTTTTGATGTTTCATGTGGAATTCTGCATTTTCCTATCATTTTTTCCTAGTTCCTACTAGTACGACCAGTTGTTTTTTTCTGAAGGAGTTCATTTCTTTCTAAAGATTCAAGTTTCCAAAGACATGTTTTTTGATAAGAAACTGTAAAAGGTTAATCTTGTTGCTATAATACCAGGATTTAAATTATGAGACATCTGGAGAGTCAATTACAAGACAAAATGATGCTGACCATACATGACAGAGAAAACAAGAATGCCCTTTGCCCAGGTTTTCTCCATACAAGAATTATCCCTGTTGGTTCCTATTCTAGCTAGATGTTTAGTTAGATTGTTTGCTGTTCTAGTCATCCACCTGAATGAGGCAGTCAGACTTTTAAGCGGTTATAACCACTTAGCAATCTATTTTGACAATTAAATCCCTCCTTCCATCTTTTGAAGCAAGTTTTAAGTCTTGACTAAGAGCTAGAAATTTTGCCTTCAAAGAATTTTGAAAATCCCCAATCTCGAGAAAATTGAGAATATTGCCCGTCATATCTAATAACTCTACCAATGCCTGAATTTCTTGGGGCTCTCCTCTAACAACATGTTTTTTGCAGTCTGATGCAACAGTTATCTCCAGAGCTGGAACAAGAGGATTCCTTTTCATCTCGTCCACATGGTAGCCCTCCTAATAATTCACCAGCAGAATGCTTTGGTATGGTTCTTGCCTGATAAAGTTGGCAACTTGTTAAAGAATTGATTTGTGCTGCACCAAGGAAGAAAAGTTTATGCTGTATTACTCTAACAGATCTTTCACACTAACAGTTTCACAAGGGTCAACCACATCTGTTGGTATGGAGCATGGAGCAATCCAGGGTCTGCACTCCAAGATCCAAGTTCCTATTGGTCCATTAGCAGAAAACACATTCTATCATGGAATATCTTCTAGTGTTCCAAATAACATATCCTCTCCAGTGAGAATTGCATCATTTGGCAATCAATCTGCACTTGGCGAGCATAGCCACTCACTTGGTCAGATGAAGTTTGGTTTTCAGAGCCTGACAAGTTTTCATCCTCATTCACTGCCTGAGCATCATGATGGCTTAGTCAATGGTGTCCCTTACCACTCTCCAGGCACTATGGCGGCAATGGCAGCAAATATGAGTCCTAGACCATCAGAAGGAATTGATAACAGGTGCATCCACAGAATAGGCTCAAATAGGCATCCACTTGACGTTAATGATGGTGGTATGTGGAACTGATTATTTGGTAAAGCTTTATTTTTTATTTTCGAATTTTTAAGTGTCTGGCAGTCTGGCTCAATGCATATGTATTTCTCATTAAACTGAGGGACTGTTACTTACCAGTCCTAGTGATTTAGAATGACGGACACTTTTCAAAATAGAAACTTAAGGCCCCATTTTGTTATAAGTACAATGCACCAATGCACCAACCATCAAGGTACACTTGAATGCTGTGCAGATGGGTGGCAACTGCCTTTCACTCTTACCAAGAATATCTCCACCTGAAAGTCTATATGATTGGATTATAACCTAAGAATCTATTCTATTTCATCTGCCAACTTATTGGGAGAAAAAGAGGTGGCAAGTGATCTTGAAAAATACCTGGATTGTATATTAGGGAAAACTCCACAAATTCCATTTCTTTGCATATACCCATTTATTATGCTGTATAATTTGCAGGGTTCCTTTAACATCCAATTGAAGTGGTCCTTAAATTTCCCTTTTTCCAGAATAAAAAATAAGGAGAATAGCAAGGACGAAAAAATGTGGCTTGAAAAAGAATCACACATCTGACCAATGCTTTTGGGTCTGATATTTAGACTTCGTATTCTTAAAATGATAGAATTATTTCCATAATATTTACCAGCCTGGTTTAACAAAGTTAGCACTGTTTTCACACCAAGGCCAAGGGGATGCTCTATACTGTTTTCTCAAAGAGACGTGGTGTGTTTCAGATAACTGGGCCCACTGTGACGTGGTTGAAATGAAATCACATCTTTTGAACAAAACCAGACCCCACATGGTGTTCTGTGGTATGTGGTAGGTGTGTTGTACTTGCCACCCAAAAAAGAAAAAAAAATGCTCTGGAACGTGTGGTGTGGTTGAGATATAGGGACTCAATGCTGACATATAACCAAAACATTGTGTTTCAAAACCCAACAAAAAACACCAATTTACCAAACACCACCTAAATTGATATCTTTCTGCTTAAGAACTATTGATTACGTTGTTACTATATAGTTCTGCTATTTCTTATTGGTTTGCATTGTGGCTGATAGATCATCTCATTTGCAGTTTTCAGCTCTTCCAGAAATGGAAGCTGCCCTCTTCATGGACATCAGTATGTGTGGAGTAACTCCAATTCATATCATCCTCGTCCTCCAGTTCCCATGATGTGGTCAAACTCACCATCATTCGTCAATGGTCCTCATAATCATGCCGCTCCACAATTGAATGGCCTTCCGAGGATGCCATCCCATTTGCTGAACCCAGTGTTACCTGTACACCACCATGTTGGATCAGCACCTGCTGTTAATCCCTCTTTATGGGATAGGCGGCATGCATATTTAGGAGAATCTCCTGAGAGATCCAATTTCCCTCCAGGTTCTCTTGGGAGTACAGGATTTCCGGGTAGTTCTACATTGCATCCTGTAGAACTTTCTTCTCGTAACATATTTCATGTGGGTGGCAACCATATGGACCCATCTATTCCCTCTACAAATGTTGGACTGCATTCCCCTCAGCAAAGATGTCACATGTTCCCTGGACGAAGCCCAACAATCCCAATGGCAAGTTCATTTGATGCACCTAATGAGCGGCTTAGAGGTCGTAGAAGTGATACTGTTTCCAATCAGACTGAGAACAAGAAGCAGTATGAACTTGACATTGACCGCATATTGCGTGGAGAGGACACCCGGACAACACTTATGATAAAGAACATTCCTAACAAGTATGTAGATACTCTCTCTCTCTCACACACACACACGCACATTGAAAAAGAGGTTACCAGAAATAAACATCAATTTGTTAACAGTGATATGCATCGACAAAAATTGTGGACTTGCCATATACCTATAGAGTCTACAATGCAACAAAGTATGTGAAAGTATTTGAAATTCATGCATTTTATGGTCCATTTGATAGTGTTCTCTGTTTGTACATGATATTAGACAGAATTACAAAATACAAATGGTTAGGAGGGTTTCCAGTGCAACAAAGTTCCATGCATTTTATAGTCCATTTGATGGAGTTCTCTGTTTGTGCATGATATTAGCCAGAACGGCAAATGGTTAGGAGGGCTCTCAAGGCATTCTGGTTGCTATCAGCTGATCCACCATTATTTAGGTGTGGTAGGGGAGTTAGGCATGGATTTTCTTTATTCTAGCCCATCCATCAAATACTGTCTCTTGGTTTTAACTGTTGTAGACTTCCCTTGGTGGAAATAATGTTTTTAGATATACTAGTTTAAGACCGCATGCTTTGCACATGTGCAAGTATTAACTATATATGATATTTGGGCTCTAAGTTGGATAGATTTTTGTTCTCAACAGATTGGGAGGAACATTGGGGCATTATTACTTCTAGGGCTCTTCCTAGACTTACTTCAAACCACTGGCCTATAGTGTTGGTCAAGGAGGAAATAAGAGGAGTTGGGCCTACCCCTTTCAAGTTTGAAAACATGTGGTTGACTCATC